GCAATCGATTGCTCAGATGAGTGATTCGAATCGAGTATATCTCCATCTTCTTTACTACTTGAATATGACATTGTAGCTTCTCACTTGTCTTCAGAGAGGATAGTTGCAAGGAGGCAGTAATTGAGCAGCTTGATTGAGGAGAAAAAGAGTCATTTCCTCCATATATCCACGGCTCAGAGCAGTCAGAGACCTTAGAATCTAACTTATCAAGTATAGATTGCAGGTTGAAAGAAATGATGCCACAATCCACAAAACCAGCTTGAATAGTGGAGGGTTGAAAGGTCTTTTTGCAAACGTCGACTAGATTCTGTAGAAACTGACGTTTTTCATATTGCTCATATCCATATCAAGCAGCTTGGTTAACTGCCTTTGAATGGTAGTGTTTATACTGCTGAAATGACACCCCATCTAGCGGTTGTAGTATATGAGTTGAATGTGAAGGAAATCCATATAGAATAATCTTGTGGAGATCGCAGTATTGCAGAAATTCTTCAGTGAGATGAGATCCATGATTGTCATGAAGCAGCAATCAATGACTGCTTTGTTGATGTTTTTTAATAACTTTATTAAAATGCTGAATCCAAGCAAAGCCAATCTCATCATTGGTATAGCCAGTATCTGACATCGCGATCATATATCCACCCAGTAGGTTGCTTTGTGTATACCAATCTTTGAAATGGGTTTTGATTTTCATGATAATGAAGGGATTCAATACCTCACCATCTGCTGAAATACACTCAATCACAGTGATCAATCCTTGAGAATATGATGAAGTTATAACTGAATTCAAGTCTTTAAAAGCAGTAATAACCCATTCTCTGCATCCTTGACCTTCTTGAAAGCCAATCTCATCAAAGTTGTAGATATCGCAGGTTTGAAATGCATACTTTTGAAGTAAGATTTCCAGACAGTCAAACCACACTTTGATGTAGTTAATATCCTCTACAGCAATTCTTTTCAGATCCATTGCCTTCTGCTTCACTCTTTTATACCCATCCAAGCTTTTTATATATCGATAGATCCACATCTTGCTGACCACAGATGAGGAGGTTGAAGAATCAGTATGATGACATTTAAGAATGAGATTTGCAATCTGCTCTGCAGTCAGTGGGCAATTATTTCTGTCCATATGAGCTATTCACTCTTTCAACACATCCTCCTGGCTCTTGCTAAGCTTCTTGTTCGGTGCAATCTTTGCATTGCGTGTTTTCCTTCCATTGATTCTCGCTCGAAGAGGTTGATAAGGAATGTTGAATTTGCGCGCCAGAGGTAGGATTTTTTGTTTTTGATTGCCATTATAGACTTCAATGGCATTCTGAATACGTTTTTCAATATCATCCATCTTATTGGTCATGGTGGTGATGATATATTAATATTTGAAGATTGATTAATGAAGAAGTTGATATTTTTATCGTTACGCTGTTTTTATCGTTACGGTGTGGCGCACCCACATCAGGTGTGGGTGCGCGCGGCACGATTAGTAAACAAAGGCGAATAAAATATTTGCCAAGCACAGAGTCGGTGGAACATCCCAGCTAACGAAATGCCAATGAGCTGGCTACTTAGGGTAAATAGAAGTTGGAATCCCCGTCCCAAAGTGATCTTGAAATATTCTGTTCAAGTATGAGATTTGTACTTTGGGAACACAAGCTAACAATAAGGTATGGGATAAACTGAGGACCTAGACCTTTTCCCTTCAAACCAAGAATCGCATCGGTGCTGTAAGCATATCTGATGGAAACACTGTTGTCATTCGTTAGATTAATCCTCATGCTCAAGTAGGGACCATGGCTATACTGAAAAGTTTCATTGTGCTGACTTGGCCATCAGCTGTGACAGAGATATGATTGATAAAATATCTAGTTTTGTCTCTGACAACAGGGGCTGGATATCATACCGTAACAACTGTATGTTCCTTAATTGTAAAATGTCCAGGGTTAGACGTCCAACGCAGCCCAAATATATTGAACACCCTACAGGGAACGACTTTTGCCCAAAAGCAGCCAATGGGGTACACTAACCTGGTTGGATGGGGAGCCATATTGCAAGTATCATTATGTTGAGAAGGAAAGGCTGACTGACAGTTGAACAACAATGGAGGGAAAAGATAGTGCAGAGCTCCTGTGATTGAATATTAGCTAAACGAACTTTCAACGCTTGCGGTTAAGAGGGATTTCCAACCTTCACGCTCAGGAACATGTTCAAACAACCACCAAAAGCGATGAAAAAGAACCCCAGCATCCAAGCGCTAACTGTATTGGCAACCAACTCTTCGTCCGTGTTTCGAACGGCTGCACGAACCTAAGGATACGGCGAATCTCCGGAGAGTTCCTGTTCAATTGCAACAGCCTATTCGGCATCAAAGATTCGGCAGCATGGCTAAGGGCGTCAATATGCTCTTGCGGCAAATTTGGATCGAATTAGTAAGACTGTGTGATCTTCTGTATATCGCCCCGAGCAGTAGGCTCAGAAATTCCATCATCGCTATCTGGCTGCTGGCTTCTCGAGCGAGTGCGCAATGTCTGAAATTTCCTTGAAGGATGAACCATTTCAACCATTATCATGACTAAAGCTCAGGAAATATAAAGTTGCTCTTTGTCGAGCTGCCGTGGGTGTAATCGTTTGATATGAAACATCGGCCCTTCAACTAACTGTTGAGACTGATTCGGTTGACAGCAATCTAGAATGCCGACTGTCTGGTTCTTCTGTAAGGTGGTAGAATCGAGGATCCCACCTTACTCAGTGGTTAGGGAAAAGTTTCCGATAAGGTTCACATAGTTGACCAAAGACGGTGGCAGCGTGAACCAACAGAACTCGAACTTACAGCAGGAGCTTGCCCCCAGAGAAGGATGAATCCCCTGCAATCACACCCTTCGGGTAGTCGGTGCTTACCCTTGTACCCTAAGACAAGCTGCCGGGGTGGATGAAGAAACCCCGCAAAATACACATGTGGCTGGTCCGGCAATAGCCTGCGTTTTCAATATTGTCCCAAGGCCATGAACCACTAATATTCATGTAAACATCCTATATCACGATCGCACGATCAGAGTGGCCAGGCGCCATTTCCCCTTCTCCACGAGAAATCGAGAAGTGGCCAATTTAGCCTGCATCGAATCGCCGACCTAATATTGGAAGACGAACAGTTCACCAACATCGGAGAAAAGTCGAACCTCGCAAATGAGGGTATAATTTGCAGTTCAGAATAGTTCTTGCTGTGATGTCAATGGATACAAAAAATTAAATACATCCAAAGAAACACGCGACCGGCTACTCCCTTCAATCCCACATCGATTTCTTTTATCTAATCAACCAACGGTCAATCCTCTGAACTGTTCAGATTAGATGTTTTATTGACAGGGGAACGAAGTTAAGACTCGTTGACCATGCGAGGCGCTCGGCTGGTTGGGCCCATGATGAAAACCACAATGTCGATCCACAAGTTTCAGCGTTGGTGAACGCTAGTTTACAAAGCGATTCATGCCTGCCATCTGACAAAACAATCGTCAAATCGCAGACTGATCATGTTCGATCGATACTTATAAGGCTTGTTGCAGTTTTCGGACCTGTTCTTTTGTTGCAAAGCACGTACATAAGCTTCTAAGCACGAGCATCCAAATCCACTAACCTCGCTTCTTTTATCCCATTTCCATGCGCCAGCGAATCGAGGAACCCCTCACCGGGTTGACATCGGACACGCTTCGTTGAGAATATGCAAAAGCGGATTAAACAGGTCATAGCAGACCTAGGATGTATCTGCCAATTCTACAGCATTACCTTTTCTCCTGAGAGGGAGTGCCGGCTTCAGGAATACCGCAACGAGCGACTCGACGATCTAAGCAAGGAAATCTTCGATACCCTTATCCAAGATTGGAAGATCCACTATTTGCTCTTACAAAACCACCTATACAACAGATGATCAAACAGTTAGATCTTTTTATGCAAGAAGACAAAAGCATGCAACCTCTCACTTCGCCCCAAAGTTAATCAATCTTTGTCAAGAGAGACACAAAATGAGAAATATAGACGGGAAGATAGCTGCTGGTGACATAGAAGACGCTACCAAACTTATCTGCAAATTAAAACATAATATAAATGCCGACAGATTAGAATCCTCAAACGAAGCGCCCTGCACGCAGTAAAGGCCATAGACCAGCTCCGCAACCACCTACAAGAGTGGTTCGAGTTCTTCAATGTCCACGATCCGTTATTTTTCTGGTGGGTAGCTAGACCATATCGTCAGCTCACCAAGGCATTTGAAGATCTCATACCTGTTATCTGTCAGAAGATCATCGGTATTCCCCCTGGCGGGGGACAGAGTGCTACTGCGGAAGAACCCATCGGTCGTGAGCGCCTGCTTGCCCATCTTGAAACAGAAATGATTCCTTACCAACCCGAGGAACTTCTGTCTATCGGCCAATCTGAGTATGCATGGTGTGAGGAAGAAATGATAAAAGCATCCACCGAGTTAGGCTAAGGCCAATATTGGCATCGTGCTCTCGAGTTTGTCAAAACCCTTCATGCAGAACCAGGCCAACAGGCGCAACTTGTGCACGATGGTGTACTTGAAGCAATCGAGTTCGTGACAAAGCAACATAACCTCGTTACGGTCCCACCCTTTGCCGCGAAGACCTGGAAAATGGACATGGTGTCGCCCTCACCGGAATTTCAATCCGCTGCGTTCGTTGGAGAGAAAATGGTGGTAGCATACTCTACAGTGCATATGTCCCGTGAATCCAAGCTGGCGAGCATGCGAACAAACAATATCCATTTCTCCCACTCAACAGGCTTCCATGGGGTGATCCCTGGGCACCATTTGCAACTTTATATGAATGTTAGACATCGCACCTATCGGGGGCTTTTCTATACACCGTCTTGGATCGAGGGCGAAGCCATGTACTGGGAAATGTTATTTTGGGATAAGAGGTTCCCTACCACTCCAGAGGATAAGATATGGATGTTATTTTTGCGCATGCACTGGTGCATGCGCATCATATTTTCCTTAAATTTCCATCTAGGACGTATGACTGCCTGAGAATGCGTCGATCTACTTGTGAGGCGGCTGGGACACGAGCGGACGGCAGCGGAAGCGGAAGTGAGGAGGTCAATTGATGGAAATTATCGGCCACTATATCAGGCGGGCTATATGTTGGGCGCGTTGTAGCTCTATGCGTTGAGGATGGAGCTAGTGGATGCGGGGATAATGCCTGAGAAGGAGTTTCATGATCGCATATTGAAGGAGAACCACCAGCCGATTGAGTTGTTGAGGGTTCTTATAAGAGACTTGCCAGTTGAGAGAGACTTCAAGACAAATTGGAGGTTTTACGAAAAATGATTGGTAGGTGTGGTGAATGTGTTGGGGAGGTGGGGGTTTGGAATAGGGGGGTGTATATTAATGGCATTCCGTATGTGCTCAAGATCTACATATCGTTCCTGAAGCGGGAGAGAAAGCTCTACGGGTACAAACATATTGAAGCTGCCCAATGTTAACGTGTAGCGTGCTGTTTTCGCGGTCCAGCCAAATACTTTTCTGCAAACCAGCTACGTTTGACACACGCCCCACAGACGAGGCGCTTCCTAAAGTACGGGAGCAGCGAAGCTTTTTGCATTTGAGGCGATCGCCCCTCGGGATCATACCTGATGCGGCGGAGTTGAATTGTCAAGGTATAGATCAATGCGTCCCGCCGACGTGGCGGACGCATTCATGCCCTGCTGTTATCGAATTCTCAAGACAGGTTGCTCTACAAGCGACCTGGATGGCAGGTGTCACTGAATACAACACTAAATCCGCTTTTTCATATATCCGGACCGGCCACCCTATCCGAGATGGCATTTGCGAAGAACCTTTGTTATATGAGGGGAGTACATCCACCTAATTCCGCATCGAGTTTCAGTGTTATTTTGGCCTCGACCTAGCTAGCGCTTCGGCCACGTTATGGCCTCATGACCGCTAGGCGGGAGGTTGCGGTCCTTCCCAACTTGCGCGATACAGCATGTGGAGCCGTTAGCCCTCGATATATGTTACCTATCGGCCGCAAATTATGAATCTCTGGGTTCATATGTGTGACAATTAATGGTCTTACCGCTCTTTCCCTGCGCTTGCAACCGCATCAGGAGGTAAACGGTCTGAACTTCGAGGTAATATAATCCTTGAGCTGCCTGTTATTTTCCTCCTCGACGTGAGGAAATCCATAGAATTCTGGAAATCAGGGCGGTAAACATCCATATGCCTCTAGCGGTATTGCATGCATGCAAATTTTCGGCCGTTTTTAGTGCGAGATTCCTGCAGAAGAACAAAGGTACCCAATTCGTTGGTGATCTCATGCGAGGAGCCGCTCGGTTTGTCGTGGGTCCGGGTTTTGGAACTTTCGTATATCTGCTTCACTATTCGACCCGCTAGAATTCTCCTGTCTTCCATGCATGTTTCGAATATTGAAACAGATTAATAGTATTAAACGTCCTGGATATGCACGCTTTACCAAAGTTTGTCTGAACAAAGGCTCATTTGCTTGCTTTTTCTCTTTTTGCTCTCTCACTCTATCTCATTCTTTTCTTTCTTTTTCCCCTTCTGTTTCATGCGTTCAAGACGCGTCTTTTCTCCTTCTCTTCTCCTTTTTTTTTTTTTTGTTTTTTATTTTTTAACTTGGACTGCCCAATCTGTTTCGTTGGCAGCACGATTCCGTACAGCGCGAATAATTTAGAGCCAATGCAGGGTCTGCCTGCAACGAAGCGTGCAAAATGATCGTATCCCAACGAAGGGAAGCTGCTTCTCTAAGTCTGCGTTAGGTTCATGATTTCCTGCGAGAGTGTGTTTGCAATAATGATTTGTTGTCAGTCTTGTCAGTCTTGTCAGTTTTCGCTGTTCGTTCCTGCTGGTGGCTTTCTATGTTTTGCACAATACACCAGCCCTAGGTAGTACCTAGGCAGGTACTGTACATACGTATATAAAGCTCCATATCTCAATTCCACCTCTCTCCTGAATGGTTTTCCTCATCAACAACAACCTCGCAATAATACCTTGACGATTCTCTTTCCACCTACCATCCTACCTACTCCCTGTGTGACGTCCTAGAACTTGCCATTTGATTTTCTCGTCCTCCCTCCTATTTGCCCTCAGTCAAATATCCCTCCGTTGCCATGGCCCCTGCAAGACTCGATGAAGTCTCGTGTGGTGTGACACGCGACGGTGCTGCCCTCGACAAGACGTCGGATGACGTTGACACTGTCAATGTCTTGAAAGCAGAACTCAAGAACTCTGCTGCATGTGATGAGTCCAAGTTTGGAGCTGACAAGG